GGAGATTGTTTATTATTACTTTTTATTATAACCCCTTGTGTCCGCCCTTATGCTTCGAATTTCCAGTAAAAGTGGTGTTCATTTATTTTAGCGGGGTAGGGTTGCTAGTTTTGCATCCGACTTCCCTTCTCTACTGTGAGTATAAAGTGGGTTAAGCAAAGTTAAGGAGAATGTCGGATGGGAGTCGAATCCCGGACCACGTGGTTGGTTGACGAGTATTCTAATACAGGACCACCGATGCACAGCACTGGAGATCCATCCTCATAAATTGTAAAGTAATGAACCACTCTGACTTTGAAGTCTTGTTTTATGGAGAAAGCGTTTTCAATCTAGCGGGTCTATTCACAGTGATTTACTACTCCTAAGTCGATTATTCCAGTGCGTCGGTGGCGTAGCGGTTAGAACGCTCGCCGACCATGCACATGGTTCGGGGTTCAATCCCCGGCCGAACAGCGATCATGCACAACAGATTCTGTCTCTCCTGTCACTTCATCGGCTTCTTCGATTTTCCCTGCCTTCTCAACCAATCTAATTGTAGATCATCTGTCGAAATATTTGCCACTGAATCTTTCCATCATTCCTATTACCACCACTATTATTATTATTATTGGTACTACCGCTACTATCACTTCATGATTTATAATTTTCTTCAAAATTAGATAAGATTTTTTTCTATTTATTCCTTTACTTACTTAACCTTACTTCACAAGAACTGACCATGTGACCGGTTTCACTCCCTTCATTAATCAGTCAGCAAGCAACAGTGCGCTTTTTACACTTCACTTATACACCAGCATAAAGCTGAACACAGATGTGAAAAGTCAAGTTCGAGTTCTTATATAAACACTGTAATTAGAAGTGTGCTGTATACTTTATTTCATTATAATTAACATACTTTTAAAATGATAAGTTTGTTTGCATAAAGAATACACTGGGAAACTGAACTTACCTCTTTGTTCCTCCTCTTATTAGAATGATGATAGCACTATCGCTCTGGGGTAGTTTATTTCACACCTCCATGTTAACTAGGCCGACGCACTCCTTTACCTCGCTAAGCCAGAAATAATGCTGGTGAAGAGGAAAGGTTGAGCATGAGGCTAGCAACCCCATCCTGTAAAAATAAACACTGCTACAGAAACTTCAAGCCACTAGCTTGAAGCCCTATGTTCCACTGTGGAATGTGAAGGAAAGAAAAAGAAAAAAAGAAAAGTCGATTATTCCAGTGTGGTAGAGATGTATAGGGTTATATCTCAATTTAGTAATATACCAAGTTGATAGGTGATTCTAGATTATATATACATATATTTGATGTATTTCTATGTTTTAAATTTGTGTCTTTGCAGCTCAGAATAATTCTAAGCTAAGATTTAGTGAAAAATTCAAATTTATGGTCTCTTCTGGTAGACACAATCAAGTAAAGGAGAAACCAGATATGAATAATAACAATAATTATAATAATACTTGTTTAAATGACAACACGAACTCTGTCAACAGTCATAACAACTCATATCCTTTATCCAATGGCCAGTGTACAACAGTTAAACAGTCAATAACAGAATCAGTCGATACAGGAAATACATCCAGTAATCCATATCTTCCTCGAACAGTTACTCCTGCCAGTACAGTTATGCTATGCGAAGAACGTTGTATTGATGAAGATCTTATGAATGATGAAACTATCAGTAATCTACAAAATAGAAACGAAAGTAGCAGTTTGAGTAGACGCCGACGTATGCTAACACTGGCGCCACCAATACTCAAACTTAAATGGCAAGATGTTTGTTTGGATGAAGCGAATCGACAGTGGGCAGTTGAAAGATTATTAACTAAACTGACAAATACATCAAATGACTTAATGAATGGCATAAAAGCTTATCGTACTGGTCTACAGAATATTGCCAACTTTCATCCAGATGATTTAAATGCATTGTTTCATAATATTGTTGAAGTGAGTCAACTTAGTTGTTACGTAACTATTATACATTATTATTATTATTATTCCCTTGGGTCCCGAGTGGAACACAGGGGCTTCAGCAGCACATCTCCATTTGCCCTCTTTTCTCTGTTCTTTCTTGGCTGGCTACAGGTAGTACGTACTCGGTTGTTTTTTTCCTTAAGCTGAAAAGTTCTGCGTCCTTCTGAAAGGCATTTTGAGCGTTAACTTCAGTGTGGAGTGAGCTTTATGAATTCTGCACACCACCCGAGGTCACTAGGCTAGACGAACATTTCATCCGTAGATAATTTTCAAAAGATTCACTTCACATTAAAGTTATCCCTGTAGGCGACCAGAGAGGAGAAAATGAAAGCTTGTCAGTTAAACCATCCAGGTCAGAAAATACAACAATACTTCTTGTTTCACTAAAAATAGGATTTATTTATTTATTTAAAACACCAACATGATACACATCATGGCCACCAAGAGAGATGTGCCACACCGAAATAACAAATCTAAGATATATACAAAGAAGCAAGGGATAGAATGACTGATGGAGGTCATCCAGAAAGCAAGCTAGGGTATTTATCAAGAACATTCACCACTCACTGCTGCACAGTGCCTTCAGAAAGGGAAGAAAGAAGTTAACTGCAGACAGTTCGTCACTGATTGCAATTCTTGTCGACATCTGACAAGGTTTGTAGCCAGCGATTTGAACTATCTCTTGGATTGCAATAGGGAGTCGTGACGTACCACTTGATACTAACCTAGACGAAATATCCTTCATCCCACGACTACATGTTATAAGCTGACCACCTCTGTGCAAATAGTGACCAGTACGGGAACTTCTGGAATGATATTTGTGGTACATGTGTAATCAGTCGAAGCATGTGTTTCAAGATGACTACACCCAATGAATGGTGACCTCCACTGTGTCCAAACACACGCTTCCAGACCTCATAATTACTTACATGATGATGCCATCGTATGCAAGCAGTTCTACGGCGACATTGATGATCGAGGATGCAGAGTCGCTGCACAAATATGATTTATTGTTTAAGCTATTCAGCTTTTAGTTAGTACTGACATTTATTTGTAATTGTGAATAGACTAACCCCAGGTTCATGGACAAAACGGTAAGGAATGATGTTAGTATCTGATTGTTTTAACTTCGGTATAAGTTTAGATTCCAACATAAGGAGGTTGAAAATCGCTCGCTTGGACTATTTTGCTATAGCTTCTTGTACATAACAGCTAGTGAGTAATAACTATGAGGTAGGCAACTACGACCGTTGATTATCTCATATAAAAACTGCTAAATGTTGTGTGGAAAACAAAATTCGACTGGATCATTTAGTTGTACTCTAATTATTAGCATTAATCTTTTTGTGTGATTGGTGAGCTGTATTTTACTTCTCACCTACCTGGGAAGCATCGTTTCAACTACAGGCGGAACTGACGAGAATATCAAAGCAAGAATCGGAAAAGCAAGACAAGCTTTCACTACTCTCAAGTCTGTGTGGAGGAGGTCAACAGCATTCAGCATGAAAACGAAGATAAGATCCGGATTTTCAACTCCAATGTGAAGTCAGTGCTACTCACGATACGGATCAGAGACTTGCACTGTGCGTCATAAAGAGCATCTCTAAACAAACTACAGACCTTCATTAACAGTTGTCTTCGCTCAATACCACTCAAGATCAGATGGCCGGCCAGAAAAGATCAGCAACAAGGAGGGATCTCTGGCAATGAGCGAACCAACTCAGCAGGAACTGATTGTGAAACAAATAGGCAGGAAGAAATGGAGATGGATTGGCTGGCCATACTCTGAGAAAAGAAACCATCAAGTGACATCACACGACAGGCCATTGCTCGATTGGAACCCGAATGAAAGGGAAGCGGCGAGTTGGTCGTCAGTGCGAGGTTGGGTGACTTGGAGGAGATCAAGTGAAGATGAGATGAAAGCGTGTGGTCAGACTTGGAGCCAGGTGAAGACTCTAGCAGAGAACCGAACGCAATGGAGACGCACGGCTGAAGCCCTATGTTCCTCTAGGAATTTAAGGAAACAATAATAATAATAATTTTACTTCTCATGTTTGTGAATGTTTTGAGCCTTAAATTTTGTAAACAGATTTGTATATTCAGAGGATGAAAACTATTATACTTATATCGAAACCAGAGCGAACATTTCTAGACAACTGACAGTAAATTGTACAGTAAATAATGATCTCTTGTATTTATTTATTGATTTCACTTGTGCTTAGATTGGCTCTGAAACGTGTAAAATGAAACAAAATCTGCAAAATGGTTGTCTGCCGTACGATGTTTCAACTATAACCTCGTCTTCATCAGATCCACCTGCTAGACAGTATGCAATCAATAATAATAAGAGCAAATCAAGATTTTCAATATCTTCAACACCATCTCCATTATTGCCTCTACGGAATGATTCTTACAGAGGGAACAATACTAATACTCTTACCAATAATAATAATAATAACAATAATAATACTAGTTTACTTAATGGGAAAGATAAACTTGATGAATATAGAAGGAATAGCAGTGGTACTATTACGAATTCTAAGAATAACAGTCATACTACACAAAACGGTGGTATACACAAACGACTGTCGTTTTTGTTTAAATTACGTAAAAGTACCGTTAATCGAGAAAGCAAACCAAATGATGGCGACGACAATATTAATAACAATAATAATAATAAAGCAAGGCAGCTATCAGAGGGTTTCAAAAGTGACACCAGTGCTACTGAACAGCTTTGTCAGCAAGACGAACCAAGGAAGCAAACGATGATTACACAACAAGATCCATCATCATGTAATCATCAATTGAACCCATTGAATCCACCTATACATGGTCATTTGGATAATCCTGGTACAATTATTTTAATGTCTCTCAGTGATCTGTTACACCAGTGTATGGATTATACAAATGTTTATCCGGATCGTTTGAAGTATATTCATCAACTTAGAAAACATTTTCCAGAGTTACGATTATTTCTCAAGGTTAGTAATACCGTATTTTTTTTCTGCGGGGGGGGGGTGCTAGGGGGATAGAGATTAGCTTTGATTGAAGTATTTACTGTTGTAGATACTACCTGCAATTTTGTTCACTAGGATAAAAAATTCGGCAAAGTTAAACTTTCAACACCAGTAACAACCAATCAGCAAACGACCTTGAACCGACCAATCACATGAAAGAGGCGTTTATGATAAGCGGAAACGTATGTTTATAGAAAAATGCATAAAGTGATAAAACGGTTACAATGGGTATCTTTTCCGAACATGGGGGAGAAACATTTCCTAATTCAGCATGGGACTGTCAATAGAGAGGTCGCACCACATTCTATACATTTATTAATCTAAATGACTATAAATGAGATCCTTTTGAGATCCATTTATAGCCCTTATCCTATTTTTCAATCGACCCCAAAATCGTTCACCAACACTGTCTAATCCACATGGACTATTACGTCGTCCCCGCCTAGCAACGAAGTAATTCTGTCCATTTTCCATTAGGCGATGTCCCTGCAGTGCTGGTATACCACTGAACTGTCGAGACGGAGGCTGTTCTCCGTCTCGGCAGCAGTACCCAGTAAATGAAAATGTACAGAATATGGGCTAGGGAGAGATGCGACCTAGCAAAATTTCCCATGAAATATTACCCTCTCTAATACTAACTCGCTACCAGCATATTCCACAACGATGTACAAAACCATCAGTTGACCTAGTATAGCTTTTTAGAGTCATTACACCACCACACGAACAACTTCTCTCTATTCGAAGCAAGCCTAAGTCCAGGCAATACTGAAAGACACTATCCTCCTAGAATTGCAAACGTAACCGTGTAAGGGCACGCATTGAAATGAATCAGGCGCTATACAACATTGAACTACGTTCGTGAATCTCATTGGATAATTTGATGTCGTTCGCTGATTGGTAGTTATTGGTGTCTAAAGTTTAACTTGGCCGAAAAGGCTTTTCTGCTTTTCTGCTAAGGTATAAACGCAATAATTGATTTTGAAAGTACAGTTCATGTGTAGGAATTCAAAGAGACAGTATGTCATACTTCTTTTGACTATGAGTTCGAGGAGAAACTTTAGCATGTATCTGTTTTTTTTTTCATGTTATCTGTCTTTGTGATTTATTTGAAACGTTATTTCTAATTTATATTTAACTTGGTGACTCTGACAATTAGTACAACACTGATCGAACAGGGCAAGTCAGTTGTTGATATTATTGAAATGCAAAAAAAATCTTCTCTGGTCATATAACATCCCTCATCACACAATGGTATATAAGTTAGGTGTAGTGTGCTAGTAGATTCAAGAGACTTGAAACGATAACTCCAATGGTTAAAGTATTTGCCTATGGTATTTCTATTGGCACTGTATATTAAGAGAAGGCAGAAATTTGATTTCATGGGTCTGAGAACTTTATCCCAGAGTGATTGGATAGTCAACGGTCAAACTTTGTAACGTAATGCCCCTGGGTGCATGTTTCTGAAAAGTCCTAATCTACAGCGAAACAGATGTCTAGAACTCTCTTAGTCTCAGGTGTCAAATCTCTGTGAACCAACTCTTGAGAATATGAAACAATAATCTTGCTGACAGGTCAGACTCGTACCTCACTAGTTAATAGTGCTCCGGCCTAGTAATCCAACAGTCATCACCAATCATATCATTGGCGGTCTACCACCCTAAAGCTGTATGCAAAATAGTTTTACCATCAGTTTATTTTTTACATTAAATCGTTTTGAATTAATTGATTATTCTAGCAATTGTGTAACTGTAAAGTAGTAGCCAATGATTGTCATGATTTTCATCTTGGACATGATCGGAAATTCTTTATTCTCTGAAATTGTTGGTCAGCTATATTCAATATATATAAATATATATATATGGATATATATATATATAGGGTGCAACAGGTTGAAGCTAAAGCAGTAACTCATCTAAGAAGACATTGCGAAGTAGTCGCGCTATGTCATGAATTGGCAGAAGTTAGAATTCACGGGCCATTGGGTCACGTCCCAGTGGCTTAATGGTCAACGAGTTCACCTTGTAACCAGAAAGTGCTGGGTTTGAACCCCAGCTGGTGTGTACTGCTGAAGAGTCCCAAACCAGAACGAAACAGTCGTCCAGTACTCCCCAGGTTTTTCAATGGTTCTCCAACTTATATCAGCTCATGATGAAATCATCCAACACATCAAACAAAATCCCTACAAAACCAGTACTTGAAAATATTTATATCTACCAATAGATTATCGATCTGAAATTATTGATTATTGTTTATTATCTTTGAAGAGTTCGCCCTTAAGGATACTGACTCTATTTTGACCACGTATTTAGTCGGGTGTCCGAAGAATCTTAAAAATGCCTTTTATAGGTTTGAAATATTTTTCCTAGTACACTTCACTAGTTACTTGTCTTCATTTTCTTCAAATAACTAACAAATGCTTAATTGAATTTTAGATTTTCCCGTCGATCGATTGGACCGAAGTGCTCGGCCTCAGCAATTTCGTCCAGTCAATCGACGGGAAAATGTAAAATTCATTTAAATAATTAATTTGACCCGTTGCACAAGAGGTGGCTCTCGTGGCCCAAGTGGTCTATTGGGTAACACTTTGGCGTTTCAAACTAAGGGCACTGGGTTCCAGCCTCTGTGCGAGCATCATCACTCACTGGGGAATTCTGTCTGTCTGTCTGGATTCAACATAGAACTTGGCACCGAAGTGCAGCAGTTCGAGTTGCCACGTTCCAAATAGCACACAAGGAAGACAAGAAGATGAGTAAAGAGAATCAATAGAGTTTTGACAAGTATAAGAGTGAAACAGAATGAGTAATGGTAGAAAGGAGTATGAAGGTTAAAGAGACTGAATACATCTGCGCCATTGACAACGATTTTGAGCCATGTCACTGGGGAATTCAGATACATCCACTAGCTGACGAGTCCGAAACAGGACGAAATGAGCATCCTGGATTCCACTGCTAGTCACCATACACCAATTAAACTAACAAATGCTTTCCTCAGGTCTTGACACAGCAAGTCATCAAGACATGACACATATTTCAGCAGGATAAGCAACACCGAAGGTGAAGTGGATTCTCCTCGAAGCCAGGGTTGACCTATTTCACGAGGTTACAGAGTTAGGATTTACGGGTCATTGAATTCTCCAGCTCAAGTGGCTGAATAGTGAACGAGCTTGGTCTTTTACCTTGGAGGTCTAGGGTTCGATCCCTCTCGTGGTCGTGGATGCAGACCACGGAAGGGTCCGAAATTAAGACGAATAGCTCTCCAGTGCTACCTGGTTTTCAGTGATCTGTCTAACCGTTATTGGTTCGTGGAGAAATCCGACAACTGAAATTAAAAGACATTAATACAGAAGAACTTTTTTTACAAACCCCAATCCGTCGGATAGGGTTTTATAGATCAGGTGTCTAAGTGACTACCGGAATGAATAGACATATCCCCCAGAATTAAAAACAGTAGCTACCATCCTCTAGATTTATAACTTTTTTATTATTGAAAACTAACTCAGAACTTTTATTTTTGTGAGAAATGAGGAACATATCTCAAGAAACAATCAACACAAATATCCTAAAGAGCTGATCACCCAAAGACATTAAGCAATAACCAGTCTTGAAGGCCGATTATCTATCAACAGAAATATACAGAATAGAGCCGGTGAGCAGTTTCACAGAATAAAGTATTCCCTATCAAATCAAAGATGAACATCATGACTAGAATAATTAATTGATTAATTCAAAGTAATCTGGGATTAAGCGTCGGTGGCACAGCGTAGAATGCTCGCCAACCACGCATGTGGTCCAGGGTTCAATTCCCGGCCACAGAAGTACGCCTTTACCTCGCCAAGTCATTAATAAATAAGACCGGTAAAGAGGAAAGGCTGGGCATGAGGTTAGCAACCCCATCCCGTAAGAATAACCGCCACTGCTACTGAAACTTCAAGCCTCTAGCTTGAAGCCCTATGTTCCACTGGGGGAACGTAAAGGAATTAAAAAACGAATCTAAGATTAATAATTAGATCACTAACAAAATGGCGTAGTAAGTGAATTCGGCCATTGTGCGGTGGGGTTTAATTCTATCATACAAAGCTGGAATTCCTAACACAGTTTCTCACCAATATAATTTCCATAACTATGATTGTGGAATATAGCGGCGTCGCTTATCTCCAGTGGTAGAATACTTGCAAAACCATAGAATTGATCCGCGGTTGAATTCCCGGTCGACTCACTCACTCACTCCTTAACCTCGCCTGGCTGGTGACAGGCACGGTAAAGTGAGGGAAGTTTAGGCGTTAGTCTAGAAAAAATAAACACCACTGCTACTGATACTGCATAGCTCAAGCCTAAAGCCCTACGCATAAGACTAAAATGAATTATAAAAATAACATATCAGCTAGGAACATAGATTATCAGATTACAGACTGGTCATCCTAAGTTTAACTTTACCCACCCACATAAATGGGCACTACTGTGAGTTTCAGACATACAGGCTACTGCATCCTAGTTTTCACGCAGTTTCTAGAATTTCATGTCGCCTAGAGTTGATTCTTCGATGCACAGTACACTGAAACTAAACAGCTCTTCACAGAAACCAAATTCGAATTTCCGCCAGTGTTTACTTTCATTTGTATTTTTAAAATTGTTTTTATCTTTATTTATAGAGTCAAGCGATGCAACCAGATGTCCCTATTCTATCATTATTTCTTACTTTACCGTTAGAGGTATGTTGATATCTTCTAGTATGTTTAATTTGTTATGAAATTGTATTGTATTCAGATTTCAAGTAGTCAGCTACCGGTTCACACTGTCGACATACTTCACCACTTTTTTCTGCTTTCAAATAGCATTACGGGCTGTTATATGCTAGGTGTGACCTATAACTCGATAAAATAAGATCATATCCATTTTGCTTCAGTGAATTTTTATTTCGTGCTTCTCATATGATGTCTTCCTTAATTTCGCACTCCCGATTTGACTGGTTTCAAAGTAGACTTCATCAAGGAAAGAAACCACCTTGTAGCAATGGTTGACTTCTTTTTCTCTGGTGTGGAATTCATTAGAAATGCTTACCCACAACTGCATGCAAGCGTCGAACAAAACACCGTTAACTCTTTCTGCAAGCATGTTGCCTTTCAGCGGTAAATAAATATCATTCTACTGTTCCACCACTGTTCTACTGGTATTGAGACTCCTGTCTGGACTGGATGTTACCATGAGAAGTAGGGACTATTGAATTTCATACACGGTCTTGAGTGTAGAAACCTACTCTCCAACAACAACACTGAACACTGGCTGCTCTGTGTTGCTTATTGACAAAAGTTGGAGATGAGTTATTTTTTTAAAATCGTGTAGTCACCGGTCTACCTAATGGTCCTGGTTTCTGTATAGAGAACGAGGTCGGTTTAGTGTGTAATCCCTGCTGCTGCTGCTGCTGACTTCTGTAGTGGGATGAAACAAGTGCTTGGTTCCCTTTTTGTTATTCAATTGTTCTTTAAACGAGGCTGATTATTGACAATTTATATTCATTAAGAAAACTCATTAAACCTCCTTTTTCATCTTTTACAGATTCCGAGATATTTGTTATCGGAATTAAAAAACATTGAGAAATATACAAGTGCTCAACATAAAGATAGACCAGCTCTTGAAAAATGCATTCAAGGTAAATTTTTGCATTACTCTTCAAGCCACATGTCTTTTCTTGTCACAATGTCAGTTTATTCCTTTACATTCCCAATGGAAGATAGGGCTTCAGGCTAGAGGCTTGAAGCTTCGGTAGCATTGTTGTCTATTTTTATGGAATGCGGTTGCTAGCGAATGCCCAACATTTCCCCTTTACTAACTAGTCTTATTACTTGCTTAGTGAGGTAAAGAAGTGAGCCGGTGGGGGATCGAACCCTGGACCACATGAGCGGTTGACGAGCATTCTACCCCCGTGCCATCGATGTACCTTGTCACAATGACGAATACATTACTGTTATGAGTGACAGCTGAAGGTGAATGGGCAATCTGCGTCTCGGCCAGGATTCGAACTATGCGCCCCCGGGATCACTAATCCATCCAAGATAACTCTAGATGGTTTCACCATAGAATACACCATTGTTTCGTCTTTCCTATTACCCAATCTATTTCTGACTGATTAAATTTGCTAGAGCTTGATATCTATATGATACATTTCATATTCCAAATATTTTTATCCTGGATTTCATTTGTATAATTACCACATAACTGAGTCATTGGTTCAGGAGTAGAATGCCTGCCAGACAAGAACATAGTCCTGTTCTTGTTCCCAACCGACGCCCTCTTAAACCTCGTTTAGCCAGTAGTAAGCCGGGCAAAGAGGGAAAGTTGAGCGTGAAGTGGTTAGCAACGCAACGCTACCTCGGAAGAACACAACACCTTGGAAGCTTAAGCTTGAAGTCCACTTTCCACTCAGAATGCAAAGGAAAGAAGAAAAAAATATACCACATAATATATATTACACAAAATTTGCATTTAACAGTGAATTCAACAGTCATTCACATAGATTTTTAGGGAAATGCAGACCTGTTTAACAACTGGAATAGTTTGCCTGTACTTGTTCAATTCCTACTATGACACCAGACATCTCATCTCAGTCCCAATCAATTATGCCTTCCATCAATCAGTATGTGCCATCTGTGTGACTGTCTCACTAACAGTTTTCATTACCAACTCAACCATTATTAACATGTGATGATGACATATTATTATTATTATTTCAGAAGTCATTTTCAACCAGCTAACATGATTTTCTTTTTTTAAAACAAAAGTGTTCGTTACATTTTGTGATGATAGTTTCATAAGATGAATAAAGGTCATGACACTTCATATTTACAGTGTATCGAATATCTAACAGTTCTCTCTCTCTGTCTCTGTCTCAATGTATCAATTGATAAGAATCATGGTTAGACTTTGTGCATATAAAAATTTATTGATTGTGTAATCGTGTGTGTATGAGCTACATATAATCACAGTGATTGACTTATTTGCTTGAGATAGACAACAAAATCAAATAATAATTATAAGTATATGGTATCGTTTAATTGATTTGTTTTAGCTTTTGGTAAACCCTTGGCGTAGTTATGTAATCAGAACGCAGATGAGTAGTAATCACACGTTATTAGTATATTAGGAAGTGAGCCTGTTTTTAAAAGTTTGTCTTCTTTTTTCGTTAGTTAGTTTTGGTGTTCAGTTAATTGATTTCTCGGTGTGAGTAGTAATCAGATAAAAATGATTGCAAAACTTCTGAACACAAATAGCCAACTACGTAATGAATGACAAGACAGTGAAGTAAAATATTTCACTAGTTTCAAAATTCAATTTTCTTAAGTATTTTTTGTTGTTGTCCTGAATACTATGCAATCACATCCATGTTAAGTGCGTAAGATAATGAGTAGCTAATAAATTGGCCGACAATATACTGAGTCGAACTAAAATCACAGAAACAAGAGACAATCAAAATTACACTATATCAAAGGGGATGAATTTAAAGCCAAGGATTAGGTAAGCAAATAAAAGAGAATAAAGGCATCAAGTTACCAGGGTTGCAACAAAAGTCTGATAACTGCTTCTTTCCGAACACATAAATCGGGTTTAAGCCTTTGATGGAGATTACTTTGGTGAACTAGAGGAGAATTGAGTTTTCCTGTATACTGATAATTTTAAAGGATTTTGCGATTTCCATCTCATGATCCGTATCAAGGAGATGCCTGGTAATGTCACTTTTGTAGGCGTTTGTTCCCTTGAGACGTAGGCTTTGAGGTACATATTCAGAAAATTGGATGTGTGCCCTTTCTGCTCCCCTAATGTAACTTCTCCCGCGGATACACGTAAATTTGTATCTATCGACCTTTGACTGCACCAGAGAGCATGTTGTCGGATAGACAGGAACCAGCTACCATCTAAGTACTTACCTGATTTTGATAGGCAGTCTTAATGGCAGGCAGGTGAATTGCTAGGTTTTCTAGTGAAGGTAATGTTGAGTACTAATAAGATTGTCGCTAACCATTAGGAGCTTCTACTCGCTAGTATGTGAACTAGTTTTGCTGTGGGTCGGCACCACTTAGACAAACAGAAAGAAATGGAAGCTCGTTTCGTTCTCATGTGTAACTTTTCAAATCTGCACTCTGATAAACCCAATCAAGAATCAGATTCACAAGAGTGAGATTACGAAGTGAACATGCGATTTGCAAGACTGTCTTTTATGAATTCTATCTTTCATCAATCCTGACAATAATTAATACCATCGTCCACTGTCATCTATCAGTGAATGCCTACAAACCCAATCATGAATTCTTCTTATTATTATTTCAGGTATTCCACTACACGTTGATCATTAATGAACAGATAATCACTATTCAATTGAATTTTAGACTTTCCCGTCGACTGATTGGACCGAAGTGCTCGGTCTCAGGTTGACATGTCGACTTTCTGTGCAGATGCTTCGACAATGTCTAGGCATGTAATTAGATAAAGCTTTGGGGTTGGAAACTGTGGGCACTGGGTTCAAGCCTCGCTGAGAACATCATCACTCACTCACTGGGGAATGCAGGTACATCTACTGACTGACGAGTGAGTCCCAGATAGGACGAAATGCGCGTTATCCTGGATTCCACTGCTAGTCGTCATCACCACTAATTAGAGAATCACTATCTTCATCCCACGCAAATTTCGTTTTTGAAAATAATTTACTCATACTTTACTTTGTATAAGTAGTATGAAATAACAACCAAAATACTATCCGTGTTTTGTTTAACATATAGGACACACTTGTCTTGTGTACAGTGAAACGATCGACTTCTTGAAACATGACTGATATGATGTCTATGCCTAAATATCACTTCTGTTTTGTTTTCCAGCTCTAAATGAAGCACTGAACAACCAGTCGTCCCCGATCCCTCCCAACGACATAGACAGTGTCAATAATTTAATTTTAAAAGATGTGTTATCTTTCCAACACTCAGTGTCCTGAGAATGACCATCAATCAAAAAAGAATACCTCTCATATTTTTGATACAAACAAGACATCACCATCTACTGGTGGTGAGGCGGTAGACAACGCAGACTCACCTGTCGTCTATCCGAAGAAAAGCGTCACTGAGAATACACAATTAGCCAAACTGATGAAGTATCTGCTACCACCACTATTTCCATATCCAAACGATTCAGAAACATTCAGTCCATCTGAATGGTCTTCAGTTAATCATCATATCATTTATAAAAGTTATCTTTTATGCACTTTGTGCTCAAAACAATATCCTGATTTAATTAAAGAGGATGTATCCTATCGTGGTCCTGTAAGTTCATGTTTCTTTGATAAATTCCTTTCGTCAAAATATCATATTTAATCTTATCTCTGTCGAGATTACTTTCAATTCCCCTCTGAAATAATAATAGTAATAATTATAAGATTTATAACTCAGGTAAATGATTCCATTTTGATTATGTTCTCTGAGCTGGTTGATTTAACTTCGAAGCTTTCGTTGTCCCTCCAGATGTAACACCTTCAATGCAGACTTCAATATGAAGTCAAATTATTTGATTTCTCCATGAATGATGATATAATTGTATCTCCTGACACCTTTCGCCGTGATTGATTGTTAACTTCCATCTTTTTTGATCATTTTTATTGACTTGGAATTTGAAATTTTTCGTTATGTGATTTATTCTTGATTAGTTGGAAAATTTCATCTATAGTTATGTTCAAGCATTTATTGGTTTTTGTAGGGATTTTGTTTGGAGGATTTCATCATGGTCTACGAGCTCACCTGCTGGATTTGAAACTCGGTGGGTGCTTTCTGATGAAGGATCCCAAGCTAGGACAAAACAGTTGTCCATTACTCCCAGCTGGTTTTCCAATGCTTCTCTAACTGATGTCAGCTATGGTAGTGTGTTGTCTGTTAATCGCTGATGCATCTTAGTTCCATACTTGTAGGAATTAATTCCCTGGTATTATCGCTGTTTTCTCTGTTTAAAATTTCTACACTTTGCCAATTAAACTAGAATCCATATTAATTAATCTACATGCATCGATGTGAAAGAATATATGTCGTGTCTTTTGACAATATTAACAAATTGAATGAACTGCGATAAACACTAAATTAGTCAAAGTGGGCATCCCATCCCATTCCATTCAGAGTCGAAGAACATAAATTAGCTATCAAAAGGCACGATATGTATTCTTCTTCTGTATTCATTCATTCATTCACGTAGTCAACTATGGAGATCAGTTTGATTCGGCAGAAAAAGTAGAAATTCTTGACGATGAAGACAGCGAGTATGCCAGGGAATTCCTCGAAGTCTGCCTGGTCTTGATGAGAAGAATCAGCAGTTAGTTAACAGGCACATTACTATGGATCGGATTTATCAACTAGTACGAAATAGGCCAGCTAACAGAAAAAGTCAAATTCCAAGTCAGTGAAAAATGATCAATAAAGACGTGAATTCACAGCCAATCACTAAATAGCTTGTCAGAAGATACAATGGTATCATCATTCATGGAGAACACATATCAGCTCACTTCATGTTGAAGTTGGCGCTGAAGACGTTATTTAAAAGGATAACGAAAGCTTCACAGTTAAATCATCAACCAGATTAGAGGACAATATCAAATTCGAATTCCCCATTGAATCATCTCTGTTGATATACTGGTTTTTATTACAAATACTTTCATGGTATATCCAAGTTAATGTGATGTTACTTTGTTGATGGTGGCTGACATCAGACAGAACCCAAGACACACAAGATTCGTTCTATTTGAAAAAGTCCACCAAGACATACTTCTATCCCAATGAATAATGCTATTCGTGGCTTAATAACTAAGTGGGTAACGTTTCAATGTTTGGAACAATGAGTATTGGATCCCCATATGTCAGTAGGAACACTGCCACTCACTTGGATACAGATAAATATTCGCAGATAGGATGGAACTGACGTCCCTAATCCCAGTGTTAGCTGCCAGCACCTATACAACATTACATGATTTCAGTAAGTGTCCAGTGAAGATTATTACTGAAACACCCAGAAGTAACCGTCAGTGCCACATAGTCATTAACACTCCTTATACGTACTCCGCTGTTCTCATTAGTGTATAATCTGTTTTTTTGTTTTGTTCATTCCAACAGGTTTTTGCATATTTACTAAATGATGCCCTACTATTAGTTGTCTCTGAAAAAGATGTCCTTGAAACTTGTCGACCATCCTGTTTAGCTTATGAACCCATACTCCTCGATTCGATTGCTTTTCAGGATTATGAAATATCAGGTTAGTAATATCTCATTTTGTCTTGTTTTCTGAACAACGATCCACTTTTAATAATGTGGTTTACGTTTTCGTAATTAGTACTGTAGTTAGCAAGAATAATTGGATTTTTAGGCGTGCGATTGATTAACGGTTCAAATTTCCCTTGCTCAATATAACTTCTCTGTCAAATCCAGTTATTTTCTGCCTGTATATGTATGGCTAAATAAGTTCATTTAAACAAACAAAAGACGCCAGCTAAATGTATGTTAAATTCGTTTGTATTCATGAAATCTGTCCTCCAATGTCACCCTTCTAAAGTCCAGTGGATAGCGCTTTCACATTTTTCTAAGGATAGTTGTTGAGTTTCAGTGTTGGTGGGTACATCGTTACTGTCGTGTTTCACACACGACTGAACGTGTATCATGAGTTCCACTGCCAGAGACCATGAGATAGGTAGTTTAACTTTTTTCAATTTAAATAATTTATAATGAATCAATCTGACTCGGCACTCAAGTCATTGCAGGAAGTTCGTAACACCTACGGCCTGGAAACCTATAATCTATGACTATTCAGTTTGTAAAACATGATCAAAATCATACTGTCTGATCTAAATATCTTGGTTGGTGCCAGTTGTAAATTTCCAAGAAAGACTGGGCTTTACTTCATCGAGACACAACTATGTTGATTTAGACAAAGAGGCACTCCTGTAGGGTAACACGCTGTCTTATTCTAATTTGCCAACCAGAATACTAAAATGTGGTGCTTGAGTGGAATTCACCTATCCACCGAGAGGCATTTATTTATACTGAGCAGCAGTTCGCTCTATCCTACTTTATGAACAGGAAATGTGATTGTCAATCAAAAGACTGTGAAGACATTACTAACTCTAACTACAGCAGGTGTCTATGTTCATATGAACATCTTGAGGTTAGATGTAAAAAGTGGAAGTCAGGCTATGCGGTTATGCGTCAGTTGGGATAGTTAGGAAACGTTTTATCCACAGTGGGACACAGCCGTCCTCCAAAAATGTTAGCTAAATTAGGAGGATTATGATGCGAAGAATGAATATATGTGATTGACGCAGAGGTTGTATGACTTCCCCCTGAAGTCGGTGGCGGACAGTTCAATAGGCCTAGCAAGAGTTCTCAGGCGACTAAGAAACATTGGTTGATGAATCTTGATGAAGTAAGTGGAATTGGTTCACGCTGACATACACACACATTGACAAACGTTTTCAAAACTCTTCATTAAGTTTCACTATTTTTCCATAAGTACGCAACATTCCCTTCAAAAAACAAAGTGGATTAACCAGCTTATAACGATTTTTCTTTCCAATTTTCACTTCATTTCAGCTTTATCATTTATGCTAAAACTTAAAAATGGCACAACATTTCAATTCGATTGTACAACATTTGAAATTAAACTAGTTTGGAAGACTCTTATTGAACAACAGATGACAACCAAATAACTGATCTATTAAAACTCCTAGACTCCTAGACTTATTTTATTCCACATTGACAACTTCATGTGAAACTGTTCAGTTCAATTCCTTCAAATCTCTCTCCCTTTGTTGATGTATAGATATTTTGAATTTGATGCTTTTATTTTTTTATATTTCATAATTATACTACGTGTAAGTTATAGTAGGCAAATTTCAATCCGCGCTTTCTTTCCAATGGTATTTTGAGTAAAAAAAAGAAATTCTTGCTTTTTCAATCTATTTCTACTGTTCTAATTACAATTAGTGAATACTTCAGTCTTAATCAACTCCAGTGTGATTTAAATCCTATTTTATTATGCGAAGAAGATATATAATACTATCAGGGTGGAGAAAACTCCTTTAACTTTATTTCGTTAACGTGTAGTGCACGACGAGAACTCCTGTGTAACCTAGTCACTCTTCTCAATAGTACTCAATTCCAGTAGAGCTTTAATATAATGTGCATTGATGACATTTGAGGGGATATTTTGCATGTCAGTCGATTTGTCATTCCTATCATCTTACCACTTTCACGTATGTGTGTGTGTGTGTACATGCACACATCTTTGTGAATTCACGTATATTAGAGAATTTCCAACAACCTCTTTTTATCCTCATTTATTTTCAAAGATTTTCTATTTATTAGCGAAGAGGACATCTTACTACTGCAATTCCTCACTTATATTTCTCTTTTCATTGACAATTAAATATTATTGAATAAAACGTATTTTACTACTTCTATGATTCTTCCTACCCGTTGTGAGGGGACGTATGGCTTATTATTGGCTTAATACTGGACTTTCCAGGCACTAGGTGCTCCGTTCTAACTCCACCATGCCTACGTGTAAGTTCGAACAACTGGGTAACCAGTGAGAATGCATACTTATGTTTATGCATTGACTTAGTATCCGTTAAACCCCTATTTAGTAGATGGTGTCTTTGAGTGACGCTTAACCAGTTTTCATAAACTCAAAATTCTTCTATAGTTTCGTTTGTAAGGATTAGTTATGTTTCACGAGTTGATCACGAACTGATATCAGTTAGAGAACCATTGAAAACCAGGCAGTACTGGACAGCTGCTGTGTCATCCAAACTAGGATGACACAGCAGCTGTCAAGTACTCCATGGTTTTCAATGGTTCTCTAACTCATCAGTCCGTGATCAACTCGTCAAAATTCTTCACTGACCGCTCAAACAGCAGCAGTGTTGAAGGAAAAGAAGAATGGGTCACATGGAAGTATGCCAAGGAGACCAATATATATGAATAGAAGGAATATGAACATAAATTTTGGGGAGAGCGATCATTCATCTTATCTGACTGTGAGACTGTCCGTGTTAACCAACATACAAGAAGCTCAGACATCTCATCGAAGGCTGTTTCCTATAACTTTTGGAGGCTAACCAGTAGTTTATTTAGCTAGTCCAATTGAATACATACTCGTCTCAGGTCTAGCTGAATTTTCGTCCAACTGAGGTACTCCACAAACTCAGCGCCTAGTCCAAGATGCAGCAAAAATCTAGGATTAACACTGCAAGTTTCGGTGAGTTATTCCTTCTGAAAAACCAACCAAAACCCGGAAAGCACGAATCAGACACACCGTTTTTCTCCCCATAATCAAGTTTCTTTTTTACAGTATGCTTCGAAGATGACAAACTAAGAGAAGCAACATAATAAAAATGATGACATGAATAAAACCAGTCCCATGGATTGCATAAAACCACGGAATATCTTCGCAAGTCGGGATTCGTGAGAAAGTTACCAGCGAATATACCCAGACACTTTATTACTACACTCACCAATTCTTTATTTCTCTCCTTGTTTAGGGCAGTGAAGCACTCTTCAGTGTGCAGTAAAGTTGGTTGCTTCTTTATCTAGAGCCTCCTTTTTCTGTGTTGCATGGGCAGCTGAGTAAACACCTGTTCGTCAGTCAGAACCAAGTAAAATCCTACTGCACCGGCGAGGTATTGGGTAGGCCGCTCTCAGTAGTTCCTCAAGTAGTTTCTCTCTCCACTTAACCAATTTTAACATTGTCTCCACTAAGTTCTCGTTTCCGGGTGGTAAGTCAAACTCCTAAGCTAGTGTGAGTGCGTTAGACACTATTCAAGATGAAACCCACAGACACTCCTGCGGAATATACCAAGTGGTCAACCTCTAGGGATAAAAATAACCATGGCACCAGCGCAGAGAATGAGAAATCAACGAAACAGCGTCAAGACTTTCTTGGTATAAAGCATCAATTCCAATGTCTGGAGATATCTGTCGACTGAGTGCAAAACCAGTAACCTCGATAGACCTTCAAGGCAAAAACACATAAGGGAGTTTTGGGCTTAGGCTGAAGAGACACGAACGATAAACACCTGCTAACTGATTTTAGATGAACCTGCTATTGACAAAAACTAGTTTGCAGATATTGACTACTGTGTAGCAGTAGAAGATGCACAAAACTTCGAAACGACTGATACTAACCACTCTGGTATAGCAAATTCAGTAGTAAACTAAGTTGACGAATGGCATTGTTACATTTCCGCTAATAGTACTACATTAATGGCCTTAACCTGTTCCGTGCAGATGTACTACATGTATTCAGCATCTTGATGATGTGGAGATTACATCTAACGACTTGTCAGCTGACGTCATACCCACTAAGTGAACTCGATGTGAAACCAGAGATGCACCTCTGCAACAACATTCTTCAGAAAGTAGATTATAGGGAGAGGCTAATGAAGGGCCTATATAAAACGGTTCGCTACAGCCACTCGGATGCAGTAAATAACTGAGGAACTTGGAAGCATAGGACGAGCGACCAAATAGAAAATATATCTTCTCTATTATTTTTAAGGCTCTCCTTATCTAGTGATTGACGAATGTCTGGGAAACCAACCCGCTAGACTACTTACACAGACTCGAGATCGCTTCTAGTTGGCTTCAACTAGAAATAACGCTCGTGATTGCTGACCCGTGGCTACGAACCCTGCTAGGCCTGAGCACTACTAACCACACTACCTGCTGACTGTTTAGACTGACCCACCTAACCTGGTAGCCAGGCTGCCCTTAAAACCATCCCAACTAGCGAAGGCAGAATATAACACCTACAGCTGCCAAGAGATGTATTTTTTGACCATGTTTATTCGAACCAGTTTCCTGTCCGTTGGAGGCAACAGACTCTGTTGGGACTTAAACGTCTGCTCCTTCACAAAAGACCGGAGCAATACGATCAGCAACTTTGTTAGAGTATTAGTAGTACCCAGTTGTTGATCACATGACCAAGCTGCTGCGTAATTGACTTGCTATATTGGCTTGTATTTGGTTGACCAGCAAATTATCGACTTATCGTCCGTCCTGAATACTGCTTGCTTTGAAATCGAGTTGGTTATTACGTACGAAAAATACTATTTTCAGTTCCGGAGACTGGCCTTCTGGCTACAGCGGACTTTCCTGATGTCGTCTCCAACCATAATGTACAGGTAGATTATCACACCACAACGAAGCTGGCGACCTCGTATCCCTTGAAAATCATACTGTTTCAATTCGCACGGATAAACAAATTGATCGTTGATGTTGGAACCGCCGAAGTGCAGTTAATTAACGAACTTATTTGATCTCCTAAAATTGACCTTCCATGTGGTCGACTAGGTGTTCCCCGCTTCACTTGCCCTGTGCAATACTTTCGAAAATAAAGGTTTATAAGTACTACTGGTCTTCTACATCGGTCGGTAATTTGAACAATTATTTCGATAGCACTCAGTTTACATATAGATGAACCTATTTCGTTCACATTATTCAGGTCTCACAAGCTCAGCATAAACTCTTTTGAAAACTCTACTTCTGTGGTTGTGTACTCCCCAGGAGCTACCAAACTTAGATTTCCAGAATTTGATCAACCTGACACAGAACTATGGTTTGCTAAACTAGAGCACTACTTTCACCGGTACAGCATTAGGTCTGAAACGACAGGGTGTTCTCAGTTACGTTGTGAGGTCAGCGAGCAGGTGCGGAACCTCATACATAATTCCCCACAATGCCCAGTGTTTAAACGCAAGGTGATAAAACGTCTCTCCATGTCAGAAAACAATCGTGTACAAAACTTTCCTGACGGAGAGAACATAGAGATACATCCCGATCACAGTTCTTGATCCACGTTCAACAGCTTGTAGGGAGCAGCATGATAGGCTGTACTGAAGCAAGTTTGAATGGAAGCCCTACAGGAGGATGTGCAGCAGATACTGTACGCGCAAGATCCCGACTTTTCTTTCAAACAGCTAGCACGCACTGGGGACCGAATGTTGGGAGGAGACGATTTACAATAGGGTGAGTGAACCATATCAGTGTGAGAAAAGACCTAATAACCCCAGAACTATTGGCCAACGTTTGGTCACTAACGCAAACAGCTAGCACAAGGCAGACAGAGTAGATCGTTCAATAGGGAACATTTCCCGCCAGATAGTAGACCCAGGCAAACTAGATCAACGGGCCAATTCTAATTTAATACTTTATATAGAAGGGTAAGTTAACATGCAATGCGTGCCACTTTCACGGGTACAATAAGACAGGTTATAAATTGCAATGGTGGAGTATCATACGTACTTTTTCAGAAGTCTAAGTAGTAGAAACAACCGGAACTGGTTTCCACATATGCTAAACTGTTCACTTAGGTCGCCATCAAGCTTGAGTGCCAAAACAAACTCCGTCTCGCTTTCGACTGACAGTTATGGTCAACCAATGAAATGCCTACATTTAGGTGAAAGTCCTCGGGAACTGCGAAGTTGTACACAACATTATCACGCATCCATGATCGATAATCCACCATCCCGAGTACATATACAACACACACACAAGAGCTGTCATAAGCTCCTCGGAATAATAGAATGCATACGCAGTGTATAACAATAATATATTCCAGCTTTATGTACATGAGGGACGCCAGTTTACAGGCATCATCAAAATGACAAGTAATATATACACGGAGTAAGCATATTTACAATATTCA